ATATTTATAATAATATATGCATCTCTGAAGTTTTAATATATTGGGTCAATAATAACATAATAAATTTGGTGACCAGAAAGCAAAATAAGTTTATTAAAATAAGATCGTTTACATTGTGAAGTATTACTTTGTTTAGATATATGGTGGTATCTTACTTTGACGTATTGTTTTATGATACATTCGATTAGGTGTATTGTATGATCAGTGTTGGGTTTTCGTTGTCAAAGGAATTTATTTTGCCACAATATTTTATTTATCTATAATGTTTAATAATACAGAAAAGGTATATAACACTCGCAACTCTCACTCTTAAGAAGAAGCCTTCTAGCCATATTGAATACCAACCTTCCACACATACATATATCATACTTACACCTAAAGGTATTATCCACAACATATGGTGCTATTTGGTTGTTACAATAATCTATAATATTAATTTACATACGATAATGATGTCCTGTCAAAATCTTGAGCTCTAAAGTGGAGTGAACATACCACAGAGTTTTTGCATAGTAATGAACTTTGTAACCCAATACTGCTTTGCCACAATTGGGATTTTATATCACATTTTGGGAACCTTAAAAATGAATTATACAAAAAATTGTTTTTTCATAAAAGAATACTTTGATTTGAAACTTTCACATTGAAACTCCATTTATATAAATACCCAGGAAATAAAACAGTTCAGATAATTTGGTAGTTTGTGCAATAGAAGCTCATGTGTTCCCCTACATTGTTCGTTAGATTAATAGGAATTCACGTTAGGTCACTATTTCACGTGCAACAATAATCTATACTTGTACATACACGAGTACTTTAATATACGTGAAACGGGAACTTCTAATATTCAGCAAAATTTCCTTTCGATAAATGGAGTTCTATCGTGTGTACATACTTTAAGTAATTTTCGTGGTTTCTTCTACTTTTTCCTGTTTCGATCTTTTCATGTAAGTCCTATTTGCACATCTTTTGACAATGCAAGATGACATTTTTCTAATTATATTTATAAATAAATCAAATGTGCTCCAAAGCACGCCAAATGCCACCAAACCACGTGAATATTAATAATTAAACTCGCCTGCAGAGTGCACTACCAATTTAGCCTCCCAAGATGGCTGACGGTTCATTCCCCTTCCGTCTTTCAGCACACCCCCGCAGAACAAGGCACTGTCCTTTAGGTCCATGGTAGCCAACGTTACCGAGAGAACTCTGCTGGCAGACTCGCGCTCTGATTGGTCGGGGTTTTTCGTTAATATCTCGTTTACAAAGCCTCGGATAACATTTTTGCTAAGGAAAAACTTGTTCAAAATTACCTCACGTGTGTCCTATTTCAGAGACCTGTAACATTTTTGTTACACCCTGTATAAGGAGAACCTATCTTACATAGTCTTACACACATACGCAGATCACGGCGTGGCGTCTATACCCCCTCTACGCGTAAATATACTAAATACAAAGGATAATAGGAACAAGAAGGATAGACAGCCCTCATATCTTCACTTTCCCTCGGACCTCCGTCGCCTCTCTTTCTTCGCACAAGAATTTACACTCCAACTAGTATACAGCTCAATGATAAAATCAATCAAATGTTTTGACTACAGTATCGAACGTATTCACGTAGTTAGTTACAGCAGAATAGCCAGTTTGTGAGAAGCGCAAGAAACTCGGCATGAAATATAAACTCGGTATACTCCAGCACCATTTACGACACAGCAGAATAGCCGATTTTTGAGAAACAAAAAATATATTTGGCAAGAAATATACGGTTAATGGTTTTTGAATGTCGAAGCATATCGAATACTAAAATGATGACAATACACAAAACTAAAAACTCAGGGGTAATAGTCGTCTACATATGTCTACAACAGTCGTAAGTAGATAGACAGTTAATAATTCCTCAACTGACAGTACATAATTCGATCATGCCCCGTAATTGGATTTTAATATTACTTATTTGTGTTATTCAATGGTCATTTTAACGATTGATTATCTTCAATAATCAATTAAAATGGTCCGAGAGAATTCAGTGTAGAATATAACGTGAACGAAGAAATACTCATTTAATTCTGTTATTATTTAGTGAAAAATTACGTACTGTGCTCTTTAAAATTCTATACAAAGGTACATACATTCTGTGTAAAAAGTACCCGGAATTTATCATTTGAAAGATGTTCTTAAAAGATATCGCCACAAGTTTTTTTCTGTAAGTTGGTAGCACTGTACCGAGTACCACGTGGGAATTTGAGCGCGATCTGTCACTCAGTGTGTTGACAGCAGCTGTTTTTGTTAACCAAACTTTTGAGTGTTCTGCGATTTTTACAATGGACAACTTAGTTGAGCAAAGAGTTTGCCTTAAATTTTGTCTTTCAAACGAAATTTCGTGTGCCGAATCACTGAAAATGTTGCAGAAGACCTACGGTGAATCGTGCATGTCAAAAACACAGGCATATGAATGGTATAAAGCATTCAAAGAGGGCCGAGAAGTGGTAGTTGATTTGCCTCGTTCTGGTCGACCTGCGACGTGTACGAACGACGAAAACATCGACAAAATCAAGAAGCTGGTGCTCGAAAATCGTCGTATGAGTCTTAGAGAGTTGGCTGAAGAGGTCAACATATCTTTAAAGTCCGTTCATAACATTATGACTGATATTTTGGGCATGAAACGGGTCGCCGCACGACTGGTACCAAAAGAGCTCAAGTTTCTCCAAAAACAGCATCGTTGTGCAAGAGTTTTTGGCTAAAAACTCAACGAATGTTATCGACCAAGCGCCGTACTCGCCTGACATGGCACCGTGTGACTTTTTACCTGTTTCCGAAGCTAAAATTACCACTTCGAGGAAGGCGTTTTGAGTCAATTGAGGCCATAAAAGAAAATTCACTGAAGGAGCTGAAGGCCATACCTCAATCAGCCTACGAACAATGTATGAAGGATTGGGTCAAGCGCTGGCATAGTTGTATTGCACTCGATGGGGTCTACTTTGAAGGCGACAAAATAAATTTTAATGAATGAATCAATTGTAAGGATGGTCGGGTCTCCTTCTCAATCGTACATGGAGAGGATAGGTGATCAAGGTTTAATTTAGTTAGTCTTTATTTCCGCCGCCGTTACGGACACGTCTTCGTCGCGATCGACGACGCGGTTGGTCTCTTCCCGCGCTTCGCCTGTTTTCCCCCGCTCGCATGTTACTCCGGCAGTGCCGTCATATGCGCCTCATGCGCCTCTTACACAATTTTTTGTATTTTATTTAATAATTCCGAGTACTTCTTACACAGAATGTAAGTACATCATCTTTGGAGAAAACGAATAAAAATATTGCCATTTATGAACAAGAAAGCCTTTCTTTCTATTATAATTGTCTTTGTAGACAAAGTAACGTGTGCATAAAAAGTAGTAAATACGTAAAAAGTATTAAACTTTTCAAGTATGCTAAAAGTTACGTAAATTCTCACAAAATGACGGAAACTTAATATAAACGTAATTGACGTTGGATTTTATTATACTACATCGTTTAGTGCCTGTTTGTTTGCAATAATCCTTTACGTTTTGCTCTGGAAAACATGAAAAACGCAACTGCTTTGTAAAAGACATGCTTACAAATGGTAACCTGCCCGTCAAACGATTAATAAAAATTCTATTGCTTCGTAGGAACGTATATCGCATCCCGAGAATCTACGAAAATGCTCTTATAGAAGAGAGGATTTCCTTAACATCGTATTAAATCCTCCATGTTGGACGTCGTAAAGCCTGAACATCTAACTCTCCACTCATCTACCTAATCTTCTTTCGTTCGTCTCCTCTGTTCCGCACTCTTTTGTCCTTTTTACTCTGATTGTTGTTGGAAAAACGTGATGTTCTTTCCGTGTTATATGAAAATTGAACTTATTGTGAAATTTCACGTATTCGTAATTACGGTTAATGCTACTTTGTATTGCAGATTGTATCTACCCAAAAAGCTTAACCACGGAGGAAGTATACAAATTTTAAATATGTATATGAGAGTTATGACAGTGTCCCATCGGGGGATTATTTTATTATACCTAATTAAAGCTTGTATCCACGAGACTTCTAATATGCGATGATTGCAATATTCAAAATTTGTATAAATAGCATGGCTAATAAAGACTTTTGTATACATCTGTGACTATTCAGGCGTAATCCTCACAATCATATGATTAGAAATCGATCCCTAATAGAGTGCGATTCCCGTCTGCCTCGGGTAGAGTAATGAACAGTGACGTAATCTCCTGGTTGTGGAGCTTAACGGTCAAATTGGTACACAATACCGTTCTCACACATGAGTGGCCATTCGCTAGAGCGATAAGGAGTTTCTGTGGATGAAATTTTGTCCCGTTTACTGTTAACAATTTATGCAGGGACTGACTATGGTCTGTTTTTCGAAAGATGATGCCTGGGAAGTTGGCCTGCCTCGGCGCGTAGCTTGTCTCGGCTCAATGCCACTGTGTGTCTCTTTCCATCCTCCGGCACTTCGGCACGAGAGTCTCTCGCTCAGACGCTCGGTAAACCAACTTCCTTCTTTACCCTGCGATTTCCACGTATAGCGTTTAATAACCTACGTGTTAATTTAATCTCCTTTTAATATGTTGCTCAATATTTGGGTACAATACATTCTTTTAAAAGAAATAAACTTTTTCTTATTCATGTATTTTAACTTTTGACGTGTGAAAACGTTCAGCGTCTCATCAACATTCTGCGCCATTTCCAGACAATGGATGATTGACGGCCACGTGCCGAACGCAGTCCCCACTCCTTGAGATTGTAGGTAGGTCCTTCTCGAGAGGTTTGTAATACGTGTGATAGAGACGGACGACCGTAGGCGAGGACTCACGTCGACGGTCGGACGTCGTTGGCCCAGACGCGAAGGCCGAAGAATGAAAGAGACAGACGACCGTAGGCGAGGACTCACGTCGACGATCGCACGTCATTGGCCAAGATGCGAGGAGTCAGAGAGACACAAGTACCGTAGGTGTCTCGCGATCGCGGCAACACCGCGAAAACTCGGGCCTAGATGATGCCTCCCAGGCATCATCTTTCGAAAAACAGACCATAGTCCGAATTTGTTTACACTGCATTACTGTGGTGCCTGACGAATCAGGCTGCGAGATTAATGCGTTGAGGACCGTGATTCGCTAATTGAACGTGTGATAGGAGTGTGTATGTCCTTCCTCCTTTAATTCTATCTTTCTTCCTTTGGTTTCTCCGAATTAATTTCTTTATTCTTTTAGTCACGGCTATGGGAATCTTTGCTATGTTTTGATATGCTAACTGTGCGCTGAATTTTGATAAAGTTGTAGACGGAATGTTCTTAATTTACATGACGCCAAAAGAGAGAAAGGCATAACTTCCACAATTAATTAAATAGTATACGAACATAACCATTATCCGATGAGACAGATAGTAAAAGTTAAAATCAGATATGCCTTTTCTCTTACATACGAAATACATGTATAGTAGGTAATGGGCTGACCGATTTGTAGCAAAGGGGTTCGATATATGATTTAGAATTTGAAATCAAAACTAACAGTTCTATAACAATTAAGATTATAATTTTAAATTTAACTGCGCACACGAAGAAGAAAGTTCGAGATGCTCGATATTTTATCGAACCAGACGCCAGAGGTTTACATTCGGCAGTTCAGCGAAGTAAATATCTACCTCGCGTTACAATCAAGCGGTCTGAACGTGGGACCACGTTGACTCCAAGGAAAAGAATGCGTTATACAGGGTGTCCCAAAAATGTCCTCCGACCCGGAAATGGGGTAGTCGGGGGATGAATAGGAACAACTTTTTCCTTAGCACCAATGTAATCTGAGGCTTCGTTACCGACATATTAACGAAAAACCGCGACCAATCAGAGCGCGAGTTTGCCAGCCGAAGCTCCAAACAAGTGGGTCAGCATGCATCGCAGGAAACTGCGTATAATAGCAAATAAAAAAGACGTAACAAATAAAATCATACGTTTTATCATCTGCCGTTTGTTATTTAAAGAGTTTAATGAATGAAACGTAAATGTATGCGAATTATGTGTAACGTAAAAAGACGAATGCACATTTACTTTTTTGTAAATTCCATTTTACGAATTTTCAAATTTCCTTTTCGAATAATGTGTGAACGAAAAAGTAATTTAACAGAGAATGAACGAGAACTGATCGTAGTTCGGTATTGGTATAAAAATTCGTAGTTTAATAACGGTCAACAATGTTACTGATAATGAATAAGTTTCTTCAAAAAGCCCGAAGAAAGAGTTAGGTACAGAAACTTACAGAATTATCGCCGGAAATAAGCCATAACTTGCGTTAAATTAAAAAAATAATAATCAACAATAAATTTATTAGAACTCACCCTTTCGGAAATTCACCTGCAGTTTGCAAACCTGTGTCACTAGGTCACTGAACCGATCCTGGTCATCGACGGCCGAAACGGTTTATGGCAGGGTATCGGGGCGGCCAGTTCGCAGGTGATCGCAGGTGTACCTCACCAGCCGAAGTTAAGGGTTGAAACGTCAAGTGCGTCCTGGTTATTCCACCGAATACGTACTCACTTCACTGCACGACCACTAACACTGATCACCCGACACAATCACTTAATGTATTTTTAATCCAACGTGTTGTTCCTACGTTAAGAAAATTCGTGGCCCCGGAAAGGGCTGATTGTTCACAATGTATCAGATGTTTTACGTAGCCAAACACTTGCACAGCAGCACCCGCATATCCGTTATTCTGTACGTACCACCATAACATTGCGTAATACTCCCGTGAACTGAACATCTCTGTCGCCCGATTGCTAACCGACTGACAGAATTTCTCCGAAAGGGCTTCCTCCACCTCCAAGTAGTTTCCCATCGTTACATTGTGAGTTCACTCCCACCACGACAAGATGTAGGTAAAAAGAAACCAACGGTTCTAGGATAACACGTGCTTTGCAGAAGTGCAAGGAAAGAACCATCGCGTAGTTTCACCAAGGATTATATTCATCCATAAGGATGTTATTTATTGCCAGGGTACCTACTGCTTCGAGATAGAAAACAGACATCACGTGCATCGGCTTGAGAATGTCCGAAATAAAGAGGACCACCAACGTTCCACCCGTTGCTTCGAGTTGGAAAGTACAGTGTACATTGTTTTCCTCGAGGAGCAGGGAAAAAATTTTACCGACACGTGTGAGTTGACGCTGCTTGGCCTTGGTTGGCCACCCTTGTAGAGGCCGGAGCGGAATTTTGGGTTATTTATGGCTGAAAATTTTCGGCCTCGTAGCAACCGGGAACTCACAACAGAATTGATAATCGACAATTTTATTACAACTCTGTGAAATTGTAGTTCTCATGAAAATATTTCATACGTATTTTTTTTAGTATTCCGTCAAATATCTCGGAATTTATTAGAAATATAAAAACATACAAGCTTATACAAGCTTATTTGCCTCACCAATGAGAAAAGTATCTTATAAACATCAAAGAGCGTACTGGGTTTGATTAGGGAGCTCCCACAATGCTGTGCATTATCGTAACGCATTACAGCCGAAGTAAAAGAAAAATACAGAATAAAAGAATTTTGTTCGGAACGTAACACTATTATGTGTTATCATTAATGTAATAAAGCCTCTGGTAGAGAATTCAAAGTTCTGTTCAATTTTAATGTTTAGATATTATACATAGTATCTGGAACTGTGAATTTGCATGAAATTCTACAGTCAAGTGAATTATTCTCTGACTTTCACTAACTT